GTCACTAAGTCCATGTGATACAACACGTAAACACAATATGTCCATTAAAACCCAGTCTGACACTGTGACACACGTTCAGTTCCTGGTAGTGAATTAACACTGGATGGGAAGCCAGTGAGGGATCACGTTCAATTAGTTAGCCAATTGTTTTTTCATTGATGAATTGATAAATTATTCACTGTCAAAAACAGTGAAAACATTAAACATCGCAGCTCCTCAGAGACCAAAGTGACGGCTCTGAAAAAGAAAAAGCAGAAAATACTAAAATTTGAAAGATAATGTTTCATATCTTTGCGTTAAATATGATTTTCAAAATAGTTTCTTTTTTCTGTCACTCGACTTATGATGTTAGCAAAACCTAGCTAATGTAAGATGCAACTATACGTCACTTTTACATTTCTAAGCCATTTTGTTTAGTTAGATAACTAAACTACATAAATTGTTAGCAAACAAGTTAAATCTGATAACTAATGTTAGCTGTTGATGTTAGATATAAGATCCAGGGGTGAGAGGAGCAACAATTAATAATCAAACTGGGATTAAAGAAATACAAAAAAGCAGAATTATGTGTACTAACAAAACTATTTATTAAACGTTTAATCATAAATGAAGAGGTCAAGATTATTAACAAAAAACGACTTCCTTAAAAATAGACAGCTGTCTGTCGGTTTGTCCCACTGGCCTCGTCTGCTTCTGCTGTCTTTGTGTTAAAGCTGTTGGAATGATTTCTAAAAACTAAAGCAGGTTCGCCTGACCAGTCCTAAGGGAGTGTGGTACCTGGAACCGGGCACAGAACACAGCAGAGGCAAAACACAGTATACTCGTATCATTGTATATTGTGCCGGTGTAACACGTGCGATACAGCATAAACATAAACATTTCACAGAAATCAGATCAAAATTGCCTCACAGCGCTTACTTCCTGTTGCCAGTAGGTTGCGCTCTCACTATATCTGAATATTGTCATGTAGACGTGTTCAGGGCGGGACTCTTATTAAACATGTGAAGTGTCATTGAGATTGGACCACGTACGCTGAAGTTATGAGGACGTGTTCAGGGTTGGACTGTTACAGAATATGTCAAGTTTAGTTGAGTTATATGGCGAATCATCGAAATTTGACGCAACACCACGGGCACGCTGTTTGATGTACAGTCACAAATAGCACAACTTTTCATCTGCAGTTTATTTTGATTGTACTGAGCAATTTTGAAGTTGATCCGATAAATTCCCTAGGAGGAGTTTGTTGAAATACAATGCGAAAAATGGCCGAAAATGGCCGCAAAATTAAAAATGGCCAACCTCGACGCTACGCCACGAACGCGCCCTTCAACTTACATCCACAAATAGCACAACTTTTAATCTGCAACATTCTTTAACTGTACTGACCAATTTTGAATTTGATCCGATAAATTCCCTCGGAGGAGTTTGTTCAAATACAGTGCGAAAAAAACGCCAAAATGGCTGACTTCGTGTTGGCTTTGGGTCCAAGAGGCTTTTTTGCTTGTCCCATCATGATACACATGTGTACCAATTTCGTACGTGTTGGTCATGCGTGTCTTGGGGGCTGATTCTGGGGGGGCGTGGCTAAGCCATTTTGCGATGCCCATCTACGAGACCAAGAGGAGAGGGGGTACCTGGAACAGGGCACAGAACACAGCAGAGGCAAAACACACCGCGTCGCCATGGCAACGTGGTTTTTCGAAAATTCTCAAGATTCATATGTCATCGTCCTAAGAAACGTCTAACAGAATTTCAACTGGATCTGGTCAATCCGCTGGAAGATATACATAAAAGTATAAAAACGACATTTCCTTTCACCACTAGGTGGCGCTCTCACTATTATTTAATATTATCACATAGATGAGTTCAGGGCGGGATTAAAGTTTAGAGCCGAATGGACAATGTACACTCAGGTTATAGCAACTTCGTGTGTTCTGGCTGTACATCAAAGTTTGACGCCACGGACATGCCCTCTAACAAGCCGTCACCAAAATCATGAAATACATACAACATGTTTTGCATTTTGTGACAAAATTTCTGCTCGATCTGATCATCATGCTAGGAGTAGAACATGGAAGTATAAAAAACGTAATTTTCTTTTCTCCACTAGGTGGCACTCTCACTATTACTGAATATTATCACATAGACGTGTTCAGGGCGGGACTCTTATCGAACATGTGAAGTTTCGTTGCAGTCGGATCATGTACGCAGAAGTTATGATTAATCAGTCTTTCATGGCGAGTCGTTGAAATTCCACGCCACGCCGTTTGACGGAATATTGTAAATAGCATTTAGCACTTTTAATTATGAATGTCTTTAGATGGCTGTGTCAAAATGGCAAAAAACCCTGTTAAAGTATGTGTTTTTAATCGAAAGGGCTTCTAATAACTGTTATAAATGATTTAGTGACCATATTGTGGTGTTGTAATGCATATAAAAAACCCATGTTACGTGGAGATATCAGGTGATGCAGAATATCTGATTTATTTACATATGCCTCCATTGTAACCTGGTTACTGTAAAATCCATATTTACATTGACTTAATTAATAACTTTTGGTAAAGATGTACTCAGAGCACTACTGTAACTACTGTTGGACAAAATGGACAGAGGAAAAGAGATTCATGGTGGTAGCGTTTATTTTACTCATGGATTCTGCTGCACCTTGGAAAATGCTGTAAATATATAATGACAAGAGGTGACCTCTGTGGGTTATCTTGTATGTTGTATTGTATGTTGTATCTTCTGTGTTACTCTGTGTGGCTGCATGTATTTAATCCTGAGTTGCTGTTTATTCAGTGGGACTGAGCAACACATTGTCATTATAAAATATAGCTACTAAAACCAAATACATCAAATAAAGAGAAATATTTTATATATAGTGATATCTCATTAAGTTTTGTGAGAACTCTGAACAGGAACTAGATACATGCAGTGAGGACACGTTCTCAACCACACAGACTGAGAACAGAGAGGTCAGTTCCTCTGTCTGTTCCAGGAAATGAATTTAAACTGCACTATTTAAATGTTAACACATGGTTGGTGAGGAAGAAAATTCATATTCTCCAGACTTGCTAACCAAAGGACATGTGGCAGCCGAATTTAAATTCTAAATGTATTATCCAAACACAACGTGTGTTATTCATAAATGCCAAAAATCATACATTTGCAATCAGCTCTGGGTGCTGTGAGGGCTTGTTTTTGTTATTTAGCGAATGTAGATAAAAGGTAAAAGACTCACAATCAAGACAATTTAACTGAAAACTCCAAAGACAAATGCTAACAGCTCATTTAACTGTGTAGTGTTTAGTCTGAAAACATTGTGTATTTCTTTTAATATAACAGAAGTTGTGCTTTCTTTGTCAGTGTGTCTCACAGTGAAGGGACAGGAACTCTTGGTTAGTTACGTGCAGAGAAGACACGTTTTCAACCACAGCTGAGGCCTGTGAACGGAGCATATAGAACTGAAAGTTCACGTCCTCTGTATGTTTATGGAAACTTTGAGGTTTTTAGCACTGGGGGAAGTTACAATGTGAATATTAAAGCTGCAAGCAGCGATGAACGGGCCCTCGGACTCCACGAAGTGTGTAGAGAGTGTAACTGTGTGCAGACCACAACATGAATATTGGCTCTTAGATGAGTTTAGGCCAGGACTCTTAACAGACTTGTGAAGTTTGGGTGCAAATGGAGAATCTGTACTGCAGTTAGGGTTAGGGTTTCCATTGTCATGTCAAGGCTGATTTTTGAAGGCACGCCACAGACACAACATATAACCGAACGTAAAGATTTTAATAACGTAACATCCTGAACTTCTCTGCATTGTATTCACCAATGTTGTTCTGATCAATTCACTAATAGGAGTTTGTTCAAATAGAAGCCCTGAAATTGCATCACAATTTGACATTGGATTAAACCTGGCCAACTTTGACGGCACGCGATGGACACGCCTATGTACAGTCACAAATAGAAACAACTTTTAATCAGCAATGTTTTTTGCAATTTTTTTATAATATTACTTAACTTGGATCATGTACACAGAAGTTATGACAAATCCCTCTTTCATGGTGAGTTGTTGAAATTCCACGCCAAGCCACGGGCACGCCAATCGATGGATTGTCGTAAATAGCACAACTTTTAATTGTGAATGTCTTTAGATGGCTGTGTCCAAATCTGAAGTTGATCCGATCAATTTGTTCAACTACAATGTGTGCAAATCGCCAGAAATGGCTGCTAAATCCAAAATGACTGACTTCCTGTTGGGTTTGGGATATTGCGCTCACTGGATTTTTTGTTTGTCTGGATAAGATCTGTATGTGTACCACTTTTCATACTCATAGATGAAATGTGCCGTTGGGGATGCCCAATAGGGGGCGCTGTCCAACCATTTTTCCATGCATCTGTCAGATACCCACAGAATACAAAATTTTTCGCCACGTCTGACATGTGCGCCGCATTTCATCAGCTTTCGAGCATGGAAAAGCCTCCAAAAATGCATTTGTATCTGTAAGAATAATAATTCCTACAGATACAATCAGTGCTCGGGCCCTAATAAAGCTTTAAAGGTCACCAGGGCCAAATTCACAAGTCCAGTAGTATATAAAGTTAATAAAGTAATTAAAAAAATTTGAATTAGCTCCACATTTACCCACGTAAGTAATTTCCCCCTGGGATTATTTAAGTATTTCTGATTCTCATTCTGATTTGAAAAGAAAAGGAAAAAGAAAGAAAAAGGAAAGAAAAGCATGATGTTTGTTCTCTTCTTCCCAACTCTCTCTCCTCCTCCTCGTTATGCGTGTGGCCCATTTTACCTGTTGTTACATGTTTTAATTTGAGATAATTGTTGTACCTTGTTACATTCTAATCTCAAAAATGTCCAAAAAACGTAAATTGCATTCTGAAATCACTCAGATTTCCCTCTGGGGTAAGGGCCCACTGCCTTCCGGCTTTTAGGTTTTGTTACCCTGGACACGCCAACCTGCTTCTATTTTTGTGTCTTGTCATCTTTCTCACTGCTCCGGGTTTGCTGATGTGAAATGAGGAAGTTACACTCTGCTCTAGTTTCATTATGGATGTACTGAATATTCTTGCAGCTTACAACTATTTCCATTACATCAGGATATTGTGTTGTCAGTAACAAGGTAAGGCTGATTGAAGGTATTGTCTCAGATATGTTCAGTATTAACATTTTGTGTTGGCAGTAAACAGTCTTCAGATGCACTTCCTCATTATGCTGGTAAACAAGTAAACATACTGTAATACAGGCAGCATTATGTATGTGATAATGGAGATTAGAGTCATAACTTTACTATTGTTAAATGGAGTATCAGACATGTGGTTTGATCATGTAAAGGAGCAAATATGTGTCAGTCTGTCTTTATCTGTAACGCTGCAGATGATAAATCAGCTCTTCCTGTGTGACAGAAATCATGTGGCAGCTGACACTTTATTGTAAATTCACAACTGCTCACTGTTAAATGATAATACAGAGAGAGGATCTGCCATTAGGCACCTGAAATATACAAATACATAATGCACAGCAACCCAAATATTAAAATACATTATTATAAATATTACTATTAACTTTCTAATGATAGACTCAGGGCCTTTCTACACCTCAACTGTAGGAAACTCAGAGACAGGCTCATAGAGTCAATATTTCCTAGTTTAAGTGATCATATTTTAATAAGAAGCTTTGCTGTTTTCTGATTTGCTTACATTTGATTTATTTGCTTTGCTTTGCTCAACTCTTCCTCCTTGTTCAGCATCATGTTTTATTCATTCTTTTTTACAGTGATGAATCATGTCAAAGGGGGAAACATTGTCTGTTAAAGAGGTGCTGTGGAAGACACTGGAAGATTTGGGAGATGAAGATTTCAGGAAGTTCAAGTGGTTCCTGCGGGACTCTGACATCCTGGGAGACCTCCCAGTCATTCCAAAGAGCCAACTGGAGAAAGCAAACAGGAAGGACCCAGTGGATAAAATAATCCAGACGTACAACCCGCAGTCTGTAGAGGTAGTGAAGATGATTCTAGAGAAGATCAACAGAGCTGATCTGGTGGAGACATTGTCATCAAGCTTCAGAACAGGAGAACAAGGTAAGCTGCAAGAAGATAAAAACATAAAACTGAACAATCACAGAAGTTCCTTGAGATATTTATAGCAGTGTGTATTATTATAGAGTTTAAGCTGAATATCATACTGGTATTATTTTGTGAAACTGTCTTGCATTCACAGTGTGTGCTGAAGAGACACAACCTGCTGTTTTAATGTTTGTATATTGTTAGAAGCAATTCAACATTTTCACAATATCTACCTGCCAGCAGAATGAACCTGGAAATGTTGAAGTTTTATTTTAGAGATGAACAGTACGAGTCTGCAGCATTTAGAAACTGCCATATGCTAACAACATTAGTTGGGCAAATGTACAATTAGCCTTAATAAACGTAATCCCCTATATTTCAGCAACTGCTTGGCTGATTTGGACAATATAGGAGTGGTCTTGGGGGTAATTGAGGATGTTGAATACATTGCTGACAATTTCAAAATTAAAAATGTATTCATTGAAAATAATTTTGACATTTGAGTAGTTTTAATCTACAGGCACTTTGGATCCCTTTGATGGAGTCCGCCATCTTGAACTGCCATGATTCTATAGTAGCCCAGAACAAACAAAACAAACACTGGTTGTATTTTGTGGATGGCTGGCTTTTTTTTTCTCTGTTTCTTCTTTAGTTGCATTTTCTTGTTTTTTATAGACAAATTTTTTTTAAATGTTTCTTGTGGCTGTATGCATTACAGCAGCGGCAGCAATGCAATATGTTATTGTATATATATGTCATTATATATATATAATATAAAAAGGTGTGAATACATTTCTTTGCCTTGTTTTCAGAAACAGACCTGGACTGTTTCAGAAGAGGCTCTGCTGGGACCTTCTAAAGCTCTGTAAGTGGACCAAATCAATTGTTATGACTTCTCTTTGAGTAATGTAAAATAACAGATGCCGAGTGCTTTCACCTCTATAAAACTGTTTGAATGTGACTGTTGAATTGAGTTCTGTTTTGACAATTCAACATTGACTTACTAGCAAAAGTTTAATGAATGATTTAAATCTAAATTATTTTAACAGTTATTTGAGAAGAATCAGAATCAGAATCAGACATACTTTAATAATCCCGTGGGGAAATTACTTGTAGGGGGGGAGGAAAAGGGGGAGAAAACAAGAGGAGAGGGGAGAAGAGAGTAGTCTTTAACCCTATAACGCCAAACGTATCATATGTGATACATGAGTTTTTGAGCCCTCCACATGAGCAGTGTGACAATTTTTTTTCCCTGAAAAACCCGATGTATACCATTATATACATGCAGTGCCCAGATAATCCACCAGGGGGCAGTAATCTGCTCACTAGAGGGTTTTCCAGCCATGCTACAAGACTGCCATTAATCAGGAAGTGGACACGTGGTTTCTTCCAGACTTCCCTGCCAGTTCCATTGCTGCATTGCTTTTGTTGGATTTGTTGGATTTGTTTGTGTATTTTTTGTTCAAGACAAAAAAGAATCTTTGAGCATTGTGACCCGCTGTATCAAATATGATACAAATTAAAACTCCGATATGGAAATTGATATTTGAATTTTTTTTTGTTGGTATGTTCAGAAGGACCAATAAAGGCTCCAGTTTCAAAGAATTTGAATTTTCTGTCAATTATTTAATAGTTTGGGCTTTACAGGGTTAACTGGAACAACTACTTTGTCTCTTGTTATAAGGCTAGAGTACAGGAAAGGCTGTAGGACAGTGACATCAAAAGGAAACACACTGGCAGCTTATGTTATTGTCACTCCTCAGACTGGTCATATATGTTTATGAAGTGGACTCATCCAGCCTTGAGATTTTTCATATGCAGCTGTGCTACTTACTTTGTGTTCAGTCTCAAACACACCGAAAGACTAAGGGCTGAACTGATTAGTAATTGATAATGGATTTGAGCAGTGAGTGTGATTGAGTTTATGGTTTTTCATCAATTTATGAAGACATCTCAAACAATATTCTGATCGGTCCAGGATCTCCTGTTCTCTTTCATCTGAGACCAAACTAAAAGAAGTTTGGAACTTGGACAAGAATAACTGTTGGTGAAAAATACACCAAATAAATTGGACACAGCTATGGCTCTGCGTTAAAATGTGTGTTTAACGTAGGTAAAGGTTATATCATACAAAAATCCATGTATTTTCATCGTCTTTGTGTGAATTGAATGTTTTTAATATTTTATGGGGTTTTTTCTAATGTGCGTTAATACAAGCACAATACAAGTCTGATTTATTCTGATGTTGATAAAAATCTCACATAACACAACATATCACTGACATATATAACATATAATATATACATATACAGCAGTTTAACACAATACTTGTTTCTCATGTTAATAAGTTCATACAGAAGATGTTACAGAACTGTAGATTTCATTACAGTTGGATTAACCTCCAACACGACTAACATTTCTAATGTACTTTGATTGATTTCTTTGTGTCTTCACGCATGAATGATCAGTTCAAATATTTCACATGACACAGGCCATGCAGAAACATTTTGATCAATTTATGCTGTGCTTTATTTTTTAAAAAGATATATTTTGTGTGATTGCAATGTATTCTGTTATTTTACACTAAACTTCACATATTCTGTAACAGTCCTAGCCTGAACACATCCTCACAACTTCAGTGTACATTATCTGATCTCAAAAAACATGTTTGATAAGAGTCCCACCTTGAACACGTCTACATGACAATATTCAGACATAGTGATCGCGCCACATACTGGCAACAGGGAAGTAAGCACTGCGTGGCGATTTTGAGCTGATTCATGTGAGTTTCATGTTGTGGTCCGCACGTGTTATGACGGCACGTGACGCGGCCGCAGCACGCCCCGAGTTGCGTGGAGTGCGAGGTCCCGCTCAATGCTGCCTGCAGCTTTAATTTTATTTTGTATCGCCTTGTGTGGATCCCTTAGAAAGGGCTGTTGAAGGGGCTGTTTGTGTGACAAAGTATTTGTTTCACCCTTTTATTGATGGACAGTGTTACATTGTGTGAGAGATTATTTGCTCCACGTGAGAATGTTAGTGTGAAATTGAACACTACAGTATATGCCAATGTTGTTTTCAATTAAAAAAACATTTGCACAAAGCAAGCCGATCCACTTTTCCATGTTGATAGGAGCATTAAAATGAGAAAACATAATGGGACAAAAAGAAATCAAGGGACATTTAGAATAGATAAAAATGTGCGATTAATTGCGAGTTAACTATGACATTAATGCATTTAATCGCGATTAAATATTTTAATCGTTTGACAGCACTATTAAAAACATGAGTACTGAAATTGTTATTTAAAGCCCAATGCACTCACCCCTAAGTTGATTTCACTTGAAATCACTTGTAATGTTAGTTGCTTTACCCAATTACTCCACCTAGTATCTTAAGAGTAAAAAACAAAATTCTATTTCATTAAACTGTTTTAAACCAGAAATTCTAAATTAAGAAAATAAAAAGCAAAACACAAAAGTACATTCTTTTTATGTTTTATTTTAACTTGAGGCACAGGAAACATTTTTAAACCATATCATTTGTTCTTGGTTGACCCTGGCGGTATATAACATATTTTAGAAGGGAAAGAAGACTGCCTCTTCTCTGTTAACTTCTGCTGCTCTCTACATGCACGAATTGGAAAGTGGAACCACAACTTTAGCTTTGATGTGCACAATTCCAGTGTCTTCCATGTTCCCACTATGACAGGATTGCTGGAGGACTACAAGGACCCTAAATCCTGCTAATAATAAAACCACAATAAAACCATAAAACATGCCTAGCAATACGGATGGAACCAAACTGCAAGATCAGTACAAACACCATCATCTGATCATCATCAGAAAGACACAAAGACAGTGGAAATACTTAAAAACATATCACAAACAGTGCAAAACAGTAAACGTGGTATTTTAGACGTGCAACAGCACCAAGCACTGGTATTTGGAACAGTGGTATATTTCAGAACACTGTTTTAGACAGAGTTGATTTTTCAGCGTTTGGATTTTTGGTGCAAGCTCACCTCTGCCCAGGTTGAGCATCACCTGCTGAATGAACTGGAAGGTGTTTTTCATGCATTTAGGGTAATCTAAGTGCAAGGCATAAATCAGTCCAAAAAGATCACAGAAGGCCTGTGGTAGGTTGGCCAGCTCCTCCATGACCACAACCCCCTCCAACACGATGCCTACTCTGGATGGGTTGAGCTGATGATTTTCGTCAATGCAGAGGATTCCCACTCGCATCTGACTGTACAAGTCCTTGTCACTTGCGTCCTGACAGAAAGAAACAGACAAGGAGAATAAATATAACTTCTCAAA